TAGATAGAATTCTGTGGAGAATGAACAAATTGCACGGATGGGAGTATATACTGTGAAAGGATTCGCAAAAACTAGTCAGTCAGTTTGATAAGGCACTTAAACGGTTCAACAGGCATGCGAGTGATGAGTATAAGTGGTTGGGATGAATATTTCGATGCGCAATTGGGAATAACGCCTTTACAACTCACAAGATACGTCAGTCCTACAGTGTTGTTCAACAAAATTTCCTTATTGTTAGTAATTTCGTTCGAATCAATTCGTCTGAAGCACGATCAGAAATGGATTGGTGCATGCAACTTAAAGGAAAAGACAGGAAATAAAACAAATGACTGCAGCAACAACAATAAAAATATTTAATTGCAATAATATTTCAAGTTTCAAATAAAGCAATTTCAAGGTTAAATTTGTTTAGTGAAATTAGCTGGGAAGACGCCTTGAATGCCGTCCGATTGCTTAATACCTAGCAACCATCCATCGTCTAATAAGTCGTCTTCTCTTGACTCAAGCACCGCGATAATCTCACCAGCATCAAACGTTAATTCATCTGTATCCTCTGCCGAATAGTGGTGTGTCGCACGTACTTTATAGAGCACCTTCAAACGAAACATCATACGTTCAATTTCGTGAATTATTCCAGTAAAATTTTTTACGTCTATCACAGAAGTATCAAATTTAGGTGTCTCCCAATTTGTGAAAATAACGACAACAACTGAAATGCATAACTCCAGATCTCGATAATCTTGAGAAAATGACCATAGAAATAAGCTGATATGCACGATGAAACAATGACTGTTTTCTGATATGCCCATAAAAATTGTCAAATTAGTGACGAAAATAACGAAAGCTGCATTCATTTGATTGACATATGTTGCTAAAATGATTTATAATCGCTTCACGTGAAGCAATGCAAGATTTGGTCGTCACAAACAACTATCTCTACCGTCCACAAATGCATTAATTCAACAACTCAATGTCAAATCAGTCAGACTTCTTATTACTTTCAACTTCATCCTCAATCCAAACAAATCGAGATGAGTTCCACTTCGCTGTCCATCCATAGTCACTTAATGATCAGAATCGATGACTCAGATTGAAAACATGGATACCTTTCTTGTATCACTTGCTTTGTGTTGTTGCTGTTGGTCAGGTTCATCGAACGGATTATTTGACGATGCATCAGCATCATCACTATCCTTACTCTTTGCTTTATCCTTCTTTTCCACTGAGTCCTCTGTGTCGAACGGATTCGGTGATTCACGTTTAGCAGTCGTATTGTTCGCTTTAACATCAAGTTGATTACGACCATCTTTTTTCGATGCACTGTTAGGTTTCGCGTTCAAACGCTGAAATTATGTGAATATTCAACAGTGAGCTTCATCACATCTGCTGGTAGTTTATGCCCTTGACATATCTTCTCTTCAATTCCGTTCCACCTTTACTTTTGCCATCCATTACAACTTCACGCTTTATTTTATTTCTGTTTTCTTCTATTCCTCTAAGGCCTCTCCAGTGATCATGTATCTTCCGAAATATTACAGTATTGAAAACAGAAATGTTACAGCAAATAAAAAAAAACAACAATCCGCAATATGATTACAACTAAATTGTAATCCTCACAATCGTTGCTATCAATACCCACACAGTCATTGCTATTTCTAAGATCACCACATCATTTTTAATGCATCACTAAACATCTGCACGACTTTATCAATTCAAACGCAAAATAACTAGGATACAAGTTTATCATCGCAGTTGGCTATCGCTTATAACTCATTTGTCAGTCACCAATTAAGAATGCATTACAAACATTGCGTGCATATTACTACTCGTTTCAAGTAAAAACATTCACCATATATGAATCCTAGAGAATATCATGTATTTTGTTGTTTAATAGAGCTCTGAAGACTCATAAATGCTGTTTTATAAACACTTGCATCAGCAAAACAATAATCATTTGACTGCTGTATATTATTCGTTTGAGAAATGCATGATCAGTTGATCAATAGACAATCGATCATGTAAATGATTGAACGAACCGGATAGACTTGATTTCGAATGGTCTCCTCCTCGGCCACTTCGGATGATGGTTGTTCGACAGTAGGAAGAGATACCCTCGGTGATACAGGTGGTGAAGTTTTGCCGGAAAGAGATGGACGACTTGGGGCTGACGGCGCAACGCCACTCCCCGAACTGGCTAAACTGGCACGTTGACTTTGCGATCGAGAATCATTCCAGGAAGTCGGCGACTCTTGTTCAGGTCGTGGAACACGCAGACGATCGAACGAATTACCCAAACTGTCCAGTTGATTCACCAAACTTTTATTATACTGCAAACCTTGCAATGAGAGAGAGGAGTCAACCACAACAATAGCAATATCTTTCTTATCAACAATATCAACATCTTTCTTTTTTCTCAACAATATCTTTTATTCGATAGAATTTTCAAAAGAGTCGAACTCGTTGATTTGTTGACAAGCAAAAGCAAAAAGGACAATCGATCAACTAGAACCCTGCCGCATTCATTGTGATTCGTGCATTCAGCATTGAATAAAGTCTGCAGAGTGTCCACGAAGAACGTGATACGGCTGTCGTACGTGGCCGGTAATGTGTCCACCAATTCTTTATTCATATCTCTATACATCGTTTCTGCATGTTGCAAATCTTGCAACGCTTTTATCACTTTCGGGTCTTCATTGCCCTCAAACAACAGTTCCGTTCAGTCAAACCCATCAATTTACATAACTCACACACTTACCAGACTTGAGCTAAGCTATTGCAAGAATTCAAAAGGAGAGTGAAAAACCTTTTTGGAGCTGGCTTTGACGGTGCTGTAATTGTTACGAGCAACATCGTAATCCACTAATTTACGTCCTCTCTTCGCGATTTTCGCTTTCAAATCAACAAATTGAGACATGTAATTATTTACCGAACCTATTAATTGCTCGTTGATTATCTTCTCATAATCATCCCACTGTAAATCGAGTGACTGAAATATACACCTACATAAATGCATAGATGCAATCCATTCTTTTTGTTTTTCGCTAAACATATCACAGTTCAATTTCATCGCCGAAAATGATCCGCCGTCGTAGCTTGTTTTGCTTCAAGTTAAACTTGAATTCATTTCTTCAGATCAAAGCCAATAGAGTACGAAAATAAGAATTTACGATAGCACAATTTTTTGTCGATAAAGCTTGTTCAATACGCGAAATGACGGATAAAAAAGCCAGTGCAGCACAAACCTGTGTGATGGCGCAGACATGCTCTCGATCAGGCCAGTCGGCCTCATACAAATCTCGAATCGTTTCCCTTAAAGTTTTCTGCGCTTGTATCATCGCTTTCAAATTAAAACCGTAGTTTTTAAGATCACGTTGCAAACGTTCGCATGCTTTCGATTGCTTGCTCAGATTTGATGCATGCTGATCAAACACATCGTCTTGTGTCGCTTTCGCTTTACCCAATCCTTCCAATAACTGAAATTCACCGCATCAGCTATTACAGATCAGTCGCTCAGCTTGCTTTGTGAAACAAACCTTTTCTTTGGCTCGTGCAGTTTGTTTCTTGAAATGTCGACCGAAGGTATCACTCATTCCCGATGAGGATTCTTGCTGAGCTGCGCTGCAACAGTCACAGACTCATTTAGTGAATGCATCTTCCCTTTCAATGCATGAAGCATCTTTACATTACTCTTCTCAAGCATACTAGCCCCTAGCAGTTGCGTAATTGGCAAATCAATTTCAATAATGATACACATACACATACTTCATGTTCATGAACCTCACTTTATTTTGGATACAAAAGCATTTCATCCTTCAATATACATGTGAGCAATCGTACACCTCAACGCATCATTTATTAGCTGAGTGCTTGATATGACAAAGTAAAGCAAACAGAAGGACAACAACCACGAGATGAAGATCACGACTTGAGATGGTGCTGTGCAACCGGAAAACAACAATCTAGTGAAGGACTTGACATGGTTTGTTGTGTTGTGTACATTGGGCTACTATTCAATCAAAACGAGTAAATGGGAACTGTGAGTTATACGATAGGATCGTGATGCTGATGATGGGATTACTGCACAGCGAAATGCGAATAATACAAGCAATTTTACGAACATTTTGACTCGTTACATTCAGCAATGACTGATCAGCTTATGCTGATTGCACACAGTGATTTTACAGCTGTGCGTTGTTAACAGATAGATAGATCACTGCCAATGCTCGTGCAAAATCAACTGTTTATGAGCGATGGATGTAATGCGATAGATTCAAGGGCGACCGACATACATATATGTATATCGTGTTGTGACTTTCAATGCATCTCATTTTTCAAGTATATAACTCGCAACAATCCTGTCACTTGTGAATCAACAATGCATATGACGATTTAGGCTAAGTCCGGAAAGAAATGGAAAAGCAGGTTCTAACAACTATCGAAAAAAGCTGTATCTACTGACTCAGATTAGTCATAGACACAGCATTAAGAGCAAACACTGAAATCTGATATGAATAAGGTGCAAGTGTGCATACACAAATCGAACAGAATACAAAAAACCAATCGAATATACAAATAAAATCATTCATTCAATATCTATTACACTCACTGTAAACTATACTTTGTGAATGCAATAACAGTAAACTGGAAGAGAAATGAAAGGTAAATGCACTGCGAGAAGGAATGAACACGGTGTGACTCATCGCAATAACCTATTCATCGAACACATATGTGCCGTTTTTACCGCAATCGTTACCACTTCCATGTGCTTTCCGAAACGGATTTTACGGATTGAGAAATAACGTTAAACGCCCGTTTCAATGAAATTATCAAATAAATGATTTAGAGCGCGACTAACGCGAAAGCATCAACCCATTTCTTTCGAAAGCTATTCAGAATGCTCTAGTCATAAGGAACTCTAATAAAATTTTGTTTTTTTTTTCAGGTATATACGGGTATATTTCAGGCTGTTTCATCGAACGGAAAGAGTAACACCTATATGGAAAGACAAAGAATCTCATTAAGCAGTTATTAACAGCAGTGAATATGGTGTGGTATTGTATTCGCAGAAGAATTGGCATTCACATAACTATAATAGGGAATATGATACGACTGATAAGCTGTAACGGATGATAAGATATGATATGATAAGTTGGTTGAATTAAGATGTTTTTTGGTCGGAATAAGTATACTCCTCACACTCTCGTAAAAGTAGTGAATATATTAAGCTGACGCAAAGATTGGTTGAGTGCAGGCAGAGCTGATGATGTAGTCGATTAGACGGAACATAGCGTTGAACGAAGGACCGGCCGTCCTATTCATTCGCTATTTCAGCGAAACGAAGGAGTAACACCGATACCAATAGATTGTCGGTTTAGCGCTGCGTCAGAGAAGTAATACTACAGTGATAGAGCGCTGCGAACACGGTGTGCAAGTTATACGATGGACTATTGAATGATACTTATGCCATGAGCAATGAACGAGCATCGTTCATGGATGGAAGGCAATACGAGAGGCGTTGCAATGATCAATAGGAAGCAGTCTAGAATTAGACTTAAGTTTAAGTCAAACTCAACTTTAGGGGTTGGTGCCTGGGCTGATGAGAGTCAAATCAACCCGAATGGTTCTCATAGTTGACGGAAGCTTTTTTCGTTAGTGTTGTTTTGCATGAAGGGCATTATATAAGCAATGATAAGATTAAAGCAATTTACAGCCACACCCAGCAACAGTGGATTTTTTAAAACGATTCATGTACATCAAGAACGTTTCACTTTAGCGAGTACATTTTGTACCTACCTGTTCACATGAATAACTCAGCTGTGTTTGGCTAATTATTAGCCATCAAATAATCTCGCAAGAAAATTGAATTCCACGAATTTAATCACGCAATATTGAGTATGGTATGGCATTTGCAAAAGAATCAAGCATTCGTATAAATATAACGGGGAATGTAAGACATATGTACGCATAATTGCTTTAACGCTTAATGATCACTTTTCAGAAACTAAGAACCACCCGAATCACAACTATCGACCAAAGGATGATATCATGAATGAGTGTATACAATTGAATCAACTCTCTCCAGACCTCCTTTATTCTCTTATGAATCCCCACTGATCGATTAATGCTTAGAAATGCTTAACAATCAAATAACCCTTTCTGACAATACGTACATGAACCGAAGTGAATTCTTTAAGAGTGATTTAAATAAAGTGCAATGTAAGTACATGCAAATAAAATAAACCGTACTTTTAGGGGTCAAATTGAATCTCAAAAGACTGAATGTTGAGTGAAAAAAAGAACTTCACTAACTTGAAATCATAAGAGCGCTTGAAATTGAATGGCATTCTGACAGTTAACCAACAAGAATTTTAGATTAGACGTAGAAATGTGAATACGACGTGGATATTGACAATTAAGGTGAACGTTAAGCGTTTTGTTCAACGAGTTGCCAGTGGATGATGCAGTTGGGAGCACACAAACATGCACACGACGCTAACAACAATAATTAATAATAGTATGCGTGAATTGACGTGAACTGATAACAAACTGATAAGGCGTTTATTAATCAATTATATTATGCACATAGTTTGAAACGTATCTCAAAAAGCGAACACAATGTGTTTCATTACGAAAACAACATAATACATTTTCGTTTTTGCTTCCACTCTGTCACGTTTTATTCATTGAGTGATAAGTGAAGTTTATGATCCAATATTGCTCGCCTTCCAAAACAATAACCGCAGAAAAACACTGACGGTCGTAAACTAAAACAACAACACTTGCTTAAGGCGAACAAAATGATCAGGTAAACTGCAAGACATCAGTGACACTTCCTTTCTGTTGCAGACCAATCTCAATTGTTCAATATGCTTAATTTGACGAACGCTAGTTTCCCAAACAGCTGACGAATTTTTTTGGAATGAAAAGAACGAAAATTTGAAGAAGTTTCGTTGATTCTCATCAAATCAAGCAAACACCGAACTGAAACAAGAACCGCGAAAAAAAGCACTTAAAAACTCCATTAAAAATTAATCATTAATCGACGACCTACTACCTTCTCAGAATTTGAACATCGACAAATAATTCCTTATAAACATTTACTTTCAATGGTAAAATTTTAAAAAAATGCCAGAAAGCAACAAGTAAACCAATAAACAAAACAATAACACATTCACAACCGAAGTTACATAAACACGAAATCAACATGAGCTCTCAACAGTTCTAATTCTCGCTCTCAACCAACACCTCTCTATTTCCTTGCTACCTCACCATTTATTTATTCAACTCAAGCTCATTTAGTGCTAGAAGCCAACTGTTTGTGAGAATTAGATGTCAGTTTACACGGAAGAATGCCCAAGGAAGCATCGGTTAGGTCGAAGGCAATCAAGACTTTCGTTTAGGCAACTAAATACGGTTTCACATACAAATGAAAAACAACACAAGAGATCAAAAGAAGTACATCTCGAAACAGCCACACGAATAATTCAAAACAATTTCTAAAACAACAATCACGTTTCGAGAACAAAAAATAAGTCAAATTCTATCAGTCAGAATAACAACTAACAATTCAAACATCGAAACAACAAGACTCACGACGCGAAAAAATGACAACATACGATCAAAGTTCGATTGTTCCGTCAAGTCGCTATAAAAAANAAAAAACATCAATGAATTACACAATTAATTCATTTCTACAGTATGCAAGTCCTTTCTATAGACAAATTTCCACTTCTCTGCACCTCTAAAATTTTATCTTTGAACAATTATAAGACTGATCAGCATCAAAGTCAACCAGTTCTACTTCATCAATATGTCACTTAGAATCGCTAAACCGATTACGAAACCGTCATTTTACATTGAATTGGAGAAATAAAACCGACAGTACCGAAACAGCAACAATACATGAACACGTTTAATCTTGAATGTATCATAGGAACAGCGAACAATCCAAACAAAATTAATTTTGTTAGTGCTAAGAAAAAGATCAAACGAAGTAGAATTTATCTTGAAGTGATATCGATAAAAGGCATTCAACTGAATGTTTATGCATTCCCTCAACACTTTTCCAAATGAGTTTTCGCAAAGAGATTCTCGAAAAGTGCTATAATGTATTCATGATTCTGCTGACCACATTAAACAGCTTAATCGCTTGACGATGAACTGAGGCACTAGTGCTGTCGTTTTTATACAAATAAACATCGTTGGTCTGCAGCAAATTCATTCTCAAAATAATCACCATTAAATGTTACGAAATCCATAAAACCACTTCAGTAAACACAACCCAGCAATGCTTATTCACTACCATTGTGCACATTTCCTTATACGATTCCCAATTGAGAGTGACTGCTAATTTATGAAAACAACAACAACAGATTATTTTGCAAATACGAACTATAAGGATTAGTACCTGAGTGGACAGTTACAAATATTAAGCATATCGAAGCAACTTGTGTAAAGTACATGATTCGAATGGAAGGAACGATAAATAGAAACCTTCCGTAACACTGAAATGGACTGAAGAGATGGAATCCGACTGAGATGAACGCAATAATCCGGGTTGAATCAGACCGAGACTTGAACGATTGCAGTCAACATGACGACGGCCGAACAGAGAGATGAATGCAAATTGAGCGAGGTGATGTGTAAGGGTAGATGATGCTGCTGCACAGGTGTAAAAATACGCCGCACATCTAAGTGGTCCACACACGGCGTTGATAGTCAGCCGATGCCACTTCATAGTCAAGTTCAATATCGAAGAACTTGTGCTTGTTAACTTCGAGGAACTTGAGGAAGTTGTGCACATGACTGACGATACTCTGCAGTGCGCGATCACTCCACGAAGTTAAACTGAAATCAAAATTGCAACTGCACAATTGCATCGAAATCAGCTACGATGAAAACGCAACAAATAACTAATAATCACTGACAGGCTGATTCAGTTCGATTAAGAAATTTTGATGACTGCTTCATTTTTGAATTACTTTGAAACTGTGAATAACGTTCACATTCCTCGATTGAAAGACTTGTGAACATTACACACTATGAATAAGCACACTCCAATAAGAGAATCTGGATAAAACAACACACCTCAGCATACTACCAAAACGAACGAACAGACGAAGTAAGTGAATGAATCCATAATAGTCGGATGGCTTGAAGACTTCTTCATTTGTACTCCCTTCTTAAAAGAAATTAGGATTCATGTCTCGTTTTTTCTTTTGAGGGGTTGAGATCATACGATTCCGTGAAGTTGGGATACATCTAACGATATAAAACCGAATAAAGAAACAAAGAAGCCGAACGAATCAGAAATCGCGAATTGAAATAATTTATTGCAAAATGCAAGATGCATTACCTTCAGAGGCAGTGTTCGCCGCGTCACCTGTACATTTTCGTTTCACCGCTGGTCCTTCTTTGCTGCTCTCCTGCAGTTCAGAATTTGCGTTTAAAACGAATGGATCATGGATCGTTGGTCAGTTTACCATCCACTGCACCATCTATCAATCACTCTAGCATTCAACTCACACAACGTTATATCATCAAATCATGTCCATTTCAGCGCAACACATCTCTCAACTCGCTAATAATCCAAACACTTTCAAACAAAAGCGACAATCATTCGAATGAAATGAATCCATTCCGAATGTTACTATTCTCACACCTAACTGTGACAAATAACGGCAGCATTCAGCACGCAAACACTGATACCAACCGAAGGAAACGAATATCTTGTGAAATAAGAAAAATCAACGTTCCAACGAAAACATTCGCTAACCTTTTTCTTGGAATGCTCGTTGAGAAGATCTAGATATTGAGGCCTTTCAAACTTGTACAGAAGTTGCGTGCCTAACGCCGTATTGAAGTAATCCTTAAAATGTTTCCAATACAAAAAAGTTTCAGCAAGAACCGGGTCAATTCAACTCAAACTCGATGCATATGTCACTTATGCCAGCGCATACATACTAATACCATTCAATTCCTGCTCTCTATTCCACTCACCGAATATTACTATCACGATCTCCACTCAAAACCTCGGCAATAATCATTTTGAAATCAGTCGACAATAATATTGCTCCGATTATAGAATAAACGCTGATCACAATGACTCAGATCTAATTGAAATACAGCATGATTCCAGGTGTGTCCAAACGACATATAAGCACAACGCAATGTACAAATGGACAAACCTGTACCCCGAGACTGCTTTCGATCAGAGTCACTATCATCGACTTCAGCTGCGTATCATCGGTATACTCTAATTTCAGTTGCTCTTTTGCCTCCACCGATGTGCCTGTATAATCGGCGTACTGAAACCGTTCAAAGTTTACTGTTTATCTATCTATTCCTTCGTAAGTCCAATTTATAAATAAATCAACTGTGAACGGAGAGCAGCCACCATCTCATGCACTTCTGCTAATCATCACCGAACCGAATATTCACTGAATCAAACTACGATCGCAGAAAACAGCACTAATAATGCAGAAGAGGACATATGTCACCTGTCGAATAATTTCAGCAACTGTGAAACGTGCCGGAACACGCACCAGATACAACTGTCTAACGATCATATCTTGATCGTCCACCAGAATATCTTTCAACACCATCGGCATCTAAACTTTTTATTCAACCCATTTACTGCTAAAACCAGTGCTACGCAAATGCGTTCAACACAAACAGCGTTTGAGCACCTAACCACTAAAAACTTGAACGAAAAGTTCCTTTTAGACAAAAAGAACTAATCATTCCATCGTCGCGGAAGGATCAGATCTTCAAAAAAAATTATTTTTTAAACAATACTCAATCAAAAGTGAATGGTGTGGTTGACAGCACGGACATACGACAGATGTTTTTGATGCGATAAGTGAATGCTAACCTCAATTTTGATCTCTTCCTTACGTACAAAATCCGGCATCCTTTCGCTCTCTGTGGCGGCATGCGTCGATCGGCCACGTTTACGTGACGATGTTGACACTGTTGACGCAGCTGTCGATGCACCATATGCACCTGAACGATATTCGTCACTGATCGCATACCCACACCAGAGCATTTCTCCAACAATTCGCTCCATCTTTGAGAGGACGACAACAAAACAAATGCAAATAATACAAAGACAGATGACGGTTGTAAACAACTGGAAATTCGGTGAAGGTAAATTTTAATAGCACGGCGATAATGAACCTTTATCGGAAGTGATACTTGCGGCTCTACTGGATGATGCACCACGCTTTTCAGACGGTGTGCTCGGACGACTATCTGAACCTTCATTCTTCTTCTCATCGAGAACACCGGCATTCGATCGTCTACCCTTCTTTTTACCTTGACTCACACGCGCTTGAGCATCTCGCATCTCTGCCTTAAAGTTTTTTTTTAAAACGGAAAGAATTCTATGCTGAACAACAAAAAAAACACGAATAAAATGAAGCCGTAATGAAAGAAATCAGATAAAAATAAGAATCAAAGGAAATTCCTCCTCACCTTTGCCTTCTCTACATTCGCTGGAGTATGCTCGAGAAAACGTGCAGACGTCTCACTGTGGCGAATTTTTTCATCATGTCTTTGATTCCAGCCCTGAAATAGATGCTGCTTTTAAAACACACAGACAAATGCACATACAAAAATATGGGATGTAGACACAGTGGAATGGCACAAACACTCCAGCACTTTCATGAAACATCAACAGTGTTTGTGTGCTGGCGTGTAGAGCAGACGGCTGAACAACTGCACGCATTCGCCTGTTTTCAATAGACCGACATCAGAGAGTAGTCAAGCGAGCAATTTGTAATGGATGTGAACGAATGATGTCATCTGGTTGTAGAGAGGAGCAGAATGGAATGAAACAGCAGGAATGAGACGATGAAACAGGGCAAGGGCAGTGCGAGAATAGAGGATTGCAAAGAAGCGTAAGATATAGAAAGTAGATAGAGATGAGTGGGATGAAGCACTGAAATATTTTTCAAAAAAAAATGAAAGAGTCAATGAGCACGATAAATTGTTTAGAGGCGATAGAGGAAACATGAAGTTTTGATAAATGATCGAGAGATGATATGAATAGTTATCAGTAGTACTTGACAGTAACCATAAATGGATATCTCAACACGGCTACCAAATTGAATCAATATCTGTTCTGGGAATATTTCCGATTAATATGAACGCCTAGGAAGCAGCGATTGTCATGCGCAGGTTATAAAATTTTCGTACGAACTCTCGCGTCCTCTACAGAGCGATTAATTGGACGAAGACGGAAGAAAAGTATTTCAAAGAGAATGCAAACTAAATGCTGTACGCACGAAAATTGAAGTGTTTCCCCTTAAAACTGGGAATTTTTTTTTCTCAAAACGACAATATCATTAATGACTAGGAACGAAACAGGCGACATAAGAACCAATAAAAGAACCAAACTATTACTGAATCGCTGCTATCTCAATCAACAACGAAAACTAGTAATTGACTGTTCTTCACCGTTCACGAGTCCAGTAATGAGGGCAATATTTAAAAAATATTGTCCTCATTATTCGACTATTTAAAAAATTGCACATAAGTTATTGCAGTGAGCGCAGAAGATATATTACATAGTGCAGAGTCGACGATATAATCGAATAAAATACTAATCGCAATGGCAGAGTGCTACCGATTCGTATAGCGAAAGTCATTTTTTGTCGACATAAACATGCCTGAGTGCTTCAACAACAAATCAGACAAAGTTTCAAGCCAGCACTAGACATTTCGAATATTGACCGCATAAAGAGAACAAACCTGATAGTGGACAGTATAGATCAATTCATCCTCTGCACTCTTATCAACTGATATAATCTTCGCCTCATAGTACAAGTTATCCACATGTCTACACAACACCTTCTCGTTCAGAGAATATGCTGCCTGTCCACTGCCGTCTGGATTAGTCTGCAACAATTCGCCCTGATTAGCATTTATACACGAAACGACTAAACTGCAATTGGCATACTATCGAAAATTCGCTCTTCTTTATTTTTGAAGTTACGGAAAATATCTACTTAATCAAAAGAAGTAAATATATATCTAAAGCATAACAAAAAACAAAACTGAAACAAAAGATGTCTCATTCAAGATATTTTTTGAGTTAATCAGATTCGATAACAGGTTGGAAGAATCCGAGAGTTGCAAACGATTTCAATTTATTGATATCGAATGTCATTCCCGACAACATGAATATATCAAGAAATACACTTGGGAATTATGTCATATTTAATCTGTTTCAATGCTTTTATATAGCACTGTTTGAATAATTTTTGTCAGAGAAATAGATACCTTAGCAACAGCTTCTTTTTCAGTGTTTTTGGCCTCTTTCCCTCCACTATTTTCCTTCCTTGGCATTGCTCCTTAACGCTTATAGAACTGTAACGTCTAGAATTGATTATCTGAACGTATTCAAGTATTCATTCCAGTATTTCAATCGCTCACATGCAGTGTACACAATTCACAATTATATGAGCATTTCATGGAACTTCAAACAATTACCATCCCCTAGGAAAAGACACTTCAAACGACAATACTGATAAATGGTACGAATGACTTCCTTACCAACATGAAACAAACAAATCAATTTAAGGAGTTAGTAACACATATCGAAAGATTTCGACTAATTGCGTGCGAGAGCTTAGCCGAAACTCAAAATGTAATGATCACGAATAGTCACTAACACCGCAGCAAAACAATTGAAACAATATTGACGCACACAGTGTTCATCATCAACAAATATGAACATATAATCAGACAATTAGATAGAAGCCTAACCATAGCCTGGCTGAGAATATGAACATGTTATTTCCAGATTCTTTTTGAAGAAAAATGATCCGTAATAAAAGTATTGTGGATGACAATTTCAAAAACGATCGCAGCACTGATGAACAACAATGAAAAGATCAGAAATAAAGAGTATTCACAAAATATCGCTAACAATGAATAAATAAAAGGCAACAACGCACTTCATACCTGAAAGAAACATTATTTCTCGCAAAAATAATGTTGTTACGCATTTGAATACGACTCGTAAAAAAAGTGAAGATAAGAAGAATGTACGACTAAAATGTTTCAACTCGAGATGACATTTAGCGAATATACCACCAATGTTTGTATAAACATCAGCCGTACAGCAGCAAAAAAATATTTCAAAATTGACCAAAAACATGTTCCAAAAGCGTGAAGCAGAATTTGGCGAACGCACTTCTTAACCAATCCAATGCAACTTGAAATTTGAGTTCGTTTATGGCAAACACACAAACGCACACACAAGATTTAAAACGATATGAAAAACATGCGATCCCATAAAAAATTATGCGATGTAAAGTTCGCTGCCGTTGCCACCACTACAATCAATTGATGTGTAGAGTGAATACGCCAACAGAAGAGTTCACACTACGATATACTTTAAAGCAATCATCTATAATATCTGTTCGGGCTTCACTTCGTTGACTCAATAACGAGCGAGCATTCACAGCTCAATACCTTTCTTCTTCGCCACAATAGTGATGGCAACTGATATACTGATTGCTCATAAGTGAATAATACTAGATCGCTGAATGAATTCAGTTGGATTTCGATCGAACACATTTTCAACTGCTGATTCATGTATGCAAGCGATTGCTAGAAAGAAGAAAGTGAATGCGAAAAACAAGAACTAAAAGGAAAACAACCAAATGCTAGGCACACTGATTGTAAGATGTAATATTGTGAAGAAACACTGGCCAATATGGGTTCACAAAAAGGCTTTGCATTCTATGAAAGCGCCTAAACAAATAAAAGTAATGAATGGTGAACACTGTATGGTTTTTGTCGTATGTCCGAATGAAGAGAGAATCAAAAACAATTGAAATAAATATTTCAGAAAGCATGATTTCGTGACAAACTTCAGTAAGCAACACATACAAACACACGGTACGGCAACGAGGATCACACAGTTTTCGACGATCTTTTATTTTTTAAGATGTCACAAACAAACGAACGAACGAATGTATAAAACACAACTGATAATGTTATCATGGTAAACACTCCTTACAAGTGTATTATTGAAATTATTCTCCAAGTGCATTTCGAGTAATCAAATCAGACAATTAATTAAACCAAAAAATTGTTTATTCATTCACTTTTACAATAATCTTTTCCATGCTCATATAAATAAGAGATTCGAAAAGCTGAATCAGTGTTTGCAGCAAACCGAATGAACAACGCAATGTGAATGTAACAGTAATGGTCTTAGCAATTATTACATTGATGCAAATTTTCACAAGATTAAAGGCGTCAATCACCACAAAACACTACACAATCGCTTTCGAACCACTTTTCGCCAATTCGTCCCTGCAAGAGATACTCAATCAATTCAATTAACATCTAACAATAATCACAATAATGACAATAATAATAATAACAATAACCATCACAGTAACAATAATAATGATAATAATAAGAATAAAAGCAGAAGCAATTATACCTCAATTGCTTCGAGAAGTCATTCTCATGTGCCTCATCATCCCAGTTATCTTCCCAAACACTCAATTCCTGAAATAAGCGCTGATTTATTTCAGAACAAGTGCATCTGCAACCACAACAACAAACAACTAAGCAGACCTCCTCTTCCTCGGCATTCTCTTTGGCTTGCCAATCTTGCAAAGGGAACTCCTCGAACTCGTCATCCTCCTCAACACTTTGCATTTCGATTTTCTTCGGTTCCTCTTTTTCTTTATCGTCTTTCTTTTTATCGGTCATTATGGATGAGTCGAATAATACTGCAATCGACCACCTTAAAACTTTATCATCTTTATTAACATTCTCATTTGAATTTGTTCAGTTGGTAACCTCATCTGATTTCCTGCTAAAACTATTCGAAGTCTACTTGTTTTATAAACTCTTATACTACCACAACAACCCTTCAATACGTTCATATGTGCCAGATCTGGGCAATGAACGATTTTTTCAGTGGCAACTGACCATCGACCAACCGAACACCCTACCGGTGACCATCAACAACGCAATTTTTGCACGGTGGTCATAGACCTAGCTCTATACGATAATAACAATAAGAATGTTGAAAAATGAAAGATAAAGTATGATTTGCACTGGTTTCATTACATTAATAACCACCAATCGAGTATCATTCAATCACAAGTCATCATCATTAATTTATTTCCAATCGAAACAAAACGAATATCAAACGATTCAATTGAACGCATCACATAATCAATACAATGTATTCCATATAAAACTACTAATCGATTCATTGTGTTATTTGGCAGGTGACATTATACCATCCACTTCGATAAATTGTATTACTACAAGGAACGCCACAAACACTACTCACTGAAATGCGGTGGTCAATCTTTGTAGAACTGTATACGCGTGGAATGCGGATAATTGCTACAGGGGTAAAGACTTCCAATCTCAGGATATATCTCACAATCTGAGGCATTGCGTTGAATGAATTTTCTCTTATTGAAAGAAGACAAGAACGTAGGTAATAGGCATTTGACGTGAACACTGCTCATTGAAAGCATTCGATGAGAATGTTTCACGATTTCGGGCTGTTGCTCTACTAAGATCGACCAAAGCCTCGGTTGAGTGCTGTTCATGGCACGTCCGTGATCACCACCGATAATGACAATCGTTATCTCATCATTCCAAAACATCATCGCTGTCCTTCTTTTGCTTCCTCTCCTTCTCGAGAATCTCCACTCTCAAAGGCAACGACTGTGTTGTTGACGGTCTTGAAGAATCACTTATTTGTTCGAGTGTTGACGTTGTCCTTCAATATTCCGTCATAATTATTTTTATCATTTAACAACTGTAACCAAGTCGAGCACCTCTTTCTCAAAACATAAAATCTAAATCAAAAACATAAAATCTAAATCTCAAGAATTTGGTAGATAACCCAAACAAAAGTAGTTATTATCTTCAATTCAGATCT